CCTTTTTCGTCGATACGAATGGTTTTGCATTATTCGGAGAGGACCGATGAGCATTAAAGAAATTTTCGGAAGTCTTGTCGATAGAATCGAAACCTGCAAGAATATCGAGAGGTGCATTAATGCCCGGTGGTGGAGAACTAGCAATGCTAAGTGTGCGAACAGTACGAAGGCGAGCCAGGCTATCATCGGTCGGATAACCGTCTCGACAGATTTGATAGGCCGGTGAACGAGGCCCTGCGTTTAGCTGGCCGCACAGCACCCATCGAAACAAGGTGGAGTCCAAACCGTAGCCCGGTGAGAGAGAGTTGCCAGTCGCCTCGCCATTGATAGGAAGTTCAGCTGACTTAGATCCGTTGACCAGAGAGAGTGAATCAGACAACTGAGACAATAAAAAAGTTAAATGTAGGCAATAAAGAGAAGTGATCATAAAACCCGATGCACAAATTCTAAATTTAGCAATCTGGTAATCATCCGCGCCAGGTTAAGTTATAGTCCGACGAGATTGCGGTAGTACTTCTTACTATTGCATTTTGGAGATGCTGTTAGAAAGGATGAAATGGACAAAGATAATTCCTTTGCAAGTGAGATCAATAAATAAGATCTATGAAAAATAAGTAATCGGCTTAGTATTTTTCAACATCAGGTAATATTGCTTGCGATAGCCAATTGAGGAGCAAAGCACTCATTTACTACCGAAGTAACCAATTTCACGAGGGAAGATTGCATTAAATTTTGCCAAGATATGTTCGCGAATTTGTGGACCTTGTCTCGAGAGGGCAGTTAAATGAATCCTTAGAAATATTTGAGTTCGTTGAAATGCACTAAGTAAAATATTCAAAGAATGCAATGAAAGGTAGCCATAACAATACATCAGAAACTGGCTCGCCCTAAATCTAAAAATGTTAGTGTCTATCATGATTAATAATCCGCCTGACAATTGGGATAAGAGTATCAAATTGGCAGTGAAAAAATCAGATAATAAGACAAAAATAACACCTCAATGAGACCAGCAGAATTTTGAATAAATAGCATTAATTGATGTTGTTTTGGCAGCTTAATTATACTAGATACATTCTTCGTGTCAAATAAGTAAACGAAGTAAGAAATGGTATATTTGACTGTAAAAAATTAGTTTGAATTCTGCTAACAAACTGACCTCTTGCCAAATCTTGGACAGGGTCCACAATGCGCCGGCAGCATGTAGAGCTGTGAGATCAGGTTGAATAATTGCAGATCCAACTGGAGGTTGCCACTCATCAGGCAAGGCCTCATCTTCTATATCGAAAAGAGAAGTAGCCTCAGAAATAGCCGATGAATTGTCAAGAGAAGCTTCGATGTTACTAGAGGTTTCGGTGGCTAGACGCTGATTTGCCTGTCGTCTGCCACGGGTCGCCAGAGCCATATTTGGCATAGAGGTTGAATTAGATGTAGACTGAGGAGTGATTAGGCAATTACCAGCTCCATTAGTGAGATGTGTAGCACCTTGAGTCAGCAAAGGCGAAATAGCTGTAGTGGTGCCTACACCTGAGAAGCTGGATGAACTAGGCACTTGTACTTGGGTTTCCGTTGACTGGCAAGAAAGACAAGCAAATAGAAGAAGGCAACGAGACTGCCGATGTCGAAGAAAAGAAACAAGGAGGCGTGGCCCACGGCTGGCAGGTCGAGGCAATGTGCCTGGTGACTCGCTCATATCTGAATCTGAATCCGTTTCGTTGAAAGTACAATCTGCTTCGTCTGTGGCCCCGGTGTTTGATATATTGCCATCGTCGGGAATCTGACCTCGAGTAATATTGTGAACGGAAGTGCTGTTTAGTGATGGGGAAAGCGAAGCAAGCAGACTACGACGCCAAGTTGCAGGATATGCACTGGAGCGGATAACCTACACAAAGTACGTAGAAAGTGAGAGAAATGGAAATAAATAATATGAATAAAAGGACAAAAGCTTTACGATGTATATAAGTGAAATCCTGATAAAATATTTGTTCACAAACTTTGGACGTCTATGGGCCTCTTGGGCCCACAAAAGGCATTCATAGGAAAATTGAAGGCAAAGCTAGATAATCGAAAGCATGATCATATTCTGAAATACGATCACTAAATGCATTTTATTGTTTGACCTTGGTAGGACTTAGAGGAACGCATTTAGTCTAAGGTCCATTGTATGCATCATCATTTCTAGAGTAGGACCGTGGACGTGATACATTCCCAGACGTTTCGCCGGCATTTTAGTCAGCATCATCAGTGAGTCTCGCCATTCGTAGCACCATATTACAAGTCGTTAAAGAGACAATTGAAGCCCATCCTTTGACAAAACGTGTGCTAAACAGTTATGATATCTCCCCTTCCGCCCTGGGCTATTCAC